AGCTGATTTTCTAGCCCATTTCAAGAAGGTGGAAAATATTGGAGAAAGGCCTTCTTGAGAAAGCAAATACATTATTTATCTTGTAAAACATTTATAAAATAAATAATTGTTGGCAGAAAATATTTTTCCCTTAAATAAAATAAAAGCCTGATTACTAAATGTGGAATGGAATCACCAGATTAATGGTGAGGGAGTTAGCTTCTTATCCTACTTCCACTTCTAGAAGTAAAGTTGGATAATTATTGACGAAACAGAATAAAAAACTGCAAGTGATTTTATTTTATTTTATTTTATTTTTTGGTACCAGGGATTGAACCTATGACCTTGTGCTTCTGAGGCTGGTGGTAGCACCACTGAGCTAAATCATCAGCCCTGCAGGTGATTTTTAAAATTCATGGATCTCACAGATAATTCTCTTCAGCCATGAAACTAGTGTTGGCTTGGAATACAGTTGCTTATGGTGTATCTCCCATTTCTTCAGTCATTATTTCTTCTATTGTATCAGTGGGTTAAATCAACACACATGATTTCAAAGCCATTATTTCATATAAGCTCTGATTTCTGTGAACAATCAGAAAAAAAGAACCAGTATTTGAAAAGAGATCATAATAAAATGTTTTTGAATGCTCTTGCTGCTCGATAGAGATTTTGGGAGTTATGGGATATCACCATTAGCAAGTATAGTACTGCCAGAATTTGTTTTAAGTGAAAGCAGTGGTACTTTAGAGTTAGAAAAAAATAAACTTCCTGTGTTCCCCTGAGTTTGAGTTCAGCTCTACAAAAATCTAGTGACATCCACTATGTTCTAGACACCAAGGTATCCCTAAGGAAAGTAATGGTGTGGGTCTCATCCTTCAGATTTTTATAGCCCCATAGAAAAGCAGGTCAGGATAAAAGCAGCATAAAAGAAGCACGATTATATTGTACAGAGTGAAAAAGAAGTTGTTTCAGAGATGTTCAGAGATTTTGTTGAAATAGTGATTCTTAGGTAGAAATTTTAACAGTTTCATAAGGTGGGCACAAAGAGACAGCTGACAGAAGAGAGGTAATGGTGTGAAGTCATAGGCAGTACTACATGGGTGTGGGTATTCAGTATGGCTATGATGCTGTCTGAAGATGTAGGGGAAGAAGGACTAAAGTGGTGAAATGTAAATGCAGCAGTAGTGAGGAGAAAGGAAAGGTTCAAAAATAACTCTGAACTGCCCTGTGTAGGACCTTGGATTTTATTATTAGTTGATTGCAACATTGAAGGTTTTGGAGCATGGCACTTACTGATCAGACATTCATTTAGAAAAGAGTATTTGTGATTGGCTTATGAAGAATGGTGTGGTGGGAGAATACTGTATGGTAATTAAAAGGGTAATGCTAGTTTGAATGATGAGCTGATTTTCCGGTGTAAATTTTTTTTATAAATATGCTACCACATTAAAAAATGGCAGCAAATTGAAAATATCTTGAGTATTTAGTAGAACTAAGTCAGTTACTTTAATAGTTTGAAATTCTGAATGAAATAATAGCCATGGAAAGTAGAAAAAAGTTTGTCAGTGAAAAACACTAACATCCTCACAAAAGTATTTTATTTTAGCTATAATTTGCTATATAATGTGGATTATGTTTAGAAAAATGTAAAGAAAGAAATTTTAATGTGTACATGTTATTCACGTAAGTTGTGTATATTTGAACACAACTGAATTGTGGAAAATAGTGATCACTGTGGGTTTGAGAGCAGCCTGGGCTACATAGTAAGTTCCAGTTCAGTCTCAACTACACAGTGAGACCCTGTCTCAAAAAACCAAAAAAAAAAAAAAAAGGAAAAGGAAAATAGTATTGTAGTATTTGTTAAATTTGCATTTGAAATGTGAGTGTTGTAACCAAGACTTTTTATTAATTCAGATTATGGAATAGTGACTGATATTTCATCAGAAATTTAAATCCCAAATAAGAACCAAGACAGATTATGTAGAGGTACAAATTTCCAATGATGAATATCATTATATTGTATATCTTAAGTGTAGCAATAAAATTAATTAAAAAAAGATATTGAAATTCCACATCAAGAAAGAATGGACATATATGTCAGGCAAAAATTAGTCATATATGCAAATAAAATTGTAACTTTGCAAATACATGTACATAAGAGATCATTGCAACTCATATAATTAGAAAGCACATTAGAAGTAGCTTTAAATTATTAAACAATATGACATGTAAGTCTTCCTACAAACTTGATTTTGATAATGGAAAACAAAAGTCTGAGATGAAGAAATTAGATGTTCAGAGTATTGTAAGGGTATAAAATATTAGGTTGGTTTATCTTTTAAAGTTGAATCTAAGATTTTGTTTCTATTTAAACACATGTAATAGTACAGTATCAAGGTATTAAACAGTACCATAACCAAATAAAGAAATAATGATGAGTTTCCAGTAGGCATTATCTGCAATTTCAAGCTAATGCACAGGAAAAGGGCTTGTTCCTTTCTGTTAGACAATTAAAACAAAATTTATGTAGATATTTGTTATTGCATATAGTTTTAGGATTGTAAAATTATTCTGCATTTGATGCTGGGTTATATTACAGTATTTAGAGATTATGTTGAGGTTTTAGAGGTTAAATTTTCTGTTCTTGATTTTTATAAAAAACAACTTTTTAATAGAATTTATTAATCATTGCCTCTTTTCTTATATAATCTAATAAGTATGTTTCTTTAAGGAAATTTTAAAAGGAAAATGTATTATTACTTTATGTGAAACCATAATAGATTTAAGGGAGTCACTGATGAGATGTTTTAAAGTAAAAATTCTTGTATGCTTATTTTTTACTCATTAATCAAATTTCAGGTATGTTTTCACAAGTGGGGGGTTTCCCCAGTGAATCATTAAAATAAGTGAGTAGGCTGAAAGGTAATACTAACTTATCTCAGCACTGCCCTATTTTACTCTGCTAGGCTATTAGCTGCTTTTTAAATAGAACCTGGGTGTGTTGGAGTCAGTGGGTGGAGGTATAGAAGGGAAGGGGTGGGGAAAAGTCCACTAAAGAAAATACCAGTTAAACCTTTGCTGGCCTATTGTGAAAGCCTACTGAAATTTTACTGTCCCAAATTTTAACCATTTAGTGTGTAAGTTCAATGATTTTTTTGCTTTGCCATGTGTAAGTTTCCAAAGACTGTATATAGGTAAATAGAAATATATTTTCAGCAATTAACTAAAATTTTAAGACATCAAGATATGTGCAAGTTAGCCTGTGAAATCAACTTCTCATGTGTGTGGGATTAAAACTGTTAAAACCATCATCACTGAAACTATACCTTCTTATAAGTAATAGCAGTAATGTGTCTGTGGAATATATTAGTACAATGATTCCTCTGATTTACAATTATTGATGGGTGTTTGATTGGAAAATTATTTGAATAACATAGGCACCTGGTTTGACATCATATATGAGGACTAATTTTGGGTTTCTAATGTGTCTCAGATGTATTAGCTTTATTTTTATTTTTATTTTTAGACGTATTATTTTTAAATTAACATGATTTATTTATAGTTAACCAATTTTTTCCCCCAGCAAACCAATGACATTGCAAATTTCCTGCATCTATGCTGTTAAAATTTTTTTTCCAACTACCATAGCATTTGTAACTGCTACAGGAGGTAGACAAAAATGTAGTTCACCTTGAAAATGATCTGGCTCAGGGAATAAAGAAATTGGGTCAGCTTAAAATAAATGCAGGTACAAAGACAAAAAGTTTTAATAAAAATTTAAAAATATTCAGAACATTGGTTTCAGGCTACTTTTGTTCTCTGTCATATCAACGCATTATTAAGTTTTAACTGAGACAGTGCTAATGGTACCTTTTCATTTTGGTCAATGTTTGTATGAAATATTATTGTGATTTAAATTTTTTTTTACTTTTTAGTTCTCTTTAATTGTAAATGTAAATTTTTGCTATGGCAGATAATTCGTAAATAGATCATTTTGTCCTTTGGAAATCTTAAGTAGCATTTGACATGGTATGAAATTTTTCTGTCATAGTTATCATTTTGGCTTACTTTCTATTGCCGGATTTAATGTGCAGCATTTAACCATGTGTCATTAAATCATAGTATTGATAATGAGTTACACTTTCATAAAACTTTAATAGGATACTAGATTTTCATTCATCTGCTGTCACTAGGGAATAACTATGCTGAAGAAGTAAGTTTTTCTTTAACTGAGGCTTAATTGTTTAACCAGAAAAATTTAAAAGTTGCTAAAAATTTTTCTGGAATATTTTGTATGCTCTTTTAAAGGAACAAGATGGAGTGGCCATGTAGTTTCTTAATCTCACAAAATATTTTGAATATTGTACAGAAAGACCATGGGCTTACATTGTTGATTGGTATTTGTTTTCTTTTTTGCTTGTTTAAAAACGTCAAACACTCCTATTTTGATAAACTTACTCCACTTAAAAGTTTCAGGGTTTAAAGTTTGTGGTAGTACATATGACAGTGTTTTAACAGATTCGTAAACTCAGACACCTGTGTAAGATATTTTACCCTGTGTAGTCTCACTGCCATCTTTTGGTGGATACCTGGCCCTAGCCTCCTACCATTAATGAGTCCTTCATTTGAAGTTAGCACTTTCAGTGTGGAGGCCTTGTTACTATTGCTTCCAAATATTTTTTCCTTACTAGCTGTTGCTTGTGGTCCAAAATGTTTTCATTCACTTTGTGTGCTCATGAACCTCTGTGGTTACCTCCTGAAGTTTTCTCTAATTATTCTAAAATGACAAATTGCATAATCCCTTTACATGTTAGCAAATTCCACTGTATAGGCAAAATGGCTTTTCCCCCCACCTCATGCTTGCTTATTTTAAGCAGTGATTTCTAAAGCAGAATTCCAGCATAGTGAAAGTATTTGAACTGTACTTTAATGTGCCATAATGACATTTGGTTTGAATCTTATATTTAGAAATCAGTTTTCTCTGTTTTACTTGCATCTAATGGGAATTATCTTTGTTCCAGTCATACTTCAAGAAGACAACTGAGAAGAACACATTTTCTTTTTGCTGCAGAAGTTGCAATAGAAGTAAGTGGGGGGAACTGGCAGGATTTGTCTGTCTCCACAAAACAAGCAGAACAAATTTCCATGAATCAGAGCCACTAAGTATAGTTTTCAGAGATGGTAGGACATAGTTACTCTCCCTAGAAAAATACCCCAAATGCTGACACACCCTTTGGCCACTAGAAAAATGCTCAAGGGTATGCTAATTCAAACCTGTATGTTTCACTCTTCATACTGAGCTATTAAAGGGGTGGAAATCTCCCCTAGCTGTAATCTTTTTTTTTTCCTCTTTTCTATTTTTCAACCTCCCACATGCTTGGTCTTTCTTTCTGCTTACTGAGAGTCTTGAGACTATAGCAACACTTACACATACTTTCATACGCAGTGGCTGATGGTTCGTAGATAACTTGTGATTCAGACCCCTAAGAAACATCTGTAAAATAAACATTTCATGATGCATACTTGAGATAAGTCATGGAAAGGGCAGGATGATGAAGAATCAGAAAGTATTTTTTTCTACTGTTGATGTTGCTTTAAGATAATGTGAGTAAAATATTCTTTAGAGAGGCTTATATCACATTCTATCACTTGGGGAAATATCTAAAGTCATTTTTACAAAGCCATTTAGCAACCTTTTAAGGATAAATGGCATATACACCTTGATGTGATTAGGTCAGAGGAAATAATGATAGCAGATATCTATGATGTGATCTAGTAAGCAAGTTAATGTTAAAACTTCTTTTAATCTGTCTTTCTTGAAATGTTTGGTATAATTTTCAAAATTTCCTTTTGCTGTTCTCTCAGTTACCTTCTAGAAATTTCTTATCACTTGAAAGATTAATGGCTATCAGTTTGTTGAAGTTGGAGTGTGTTTGAGAAGTTGCTGAACACTGCATTATTAAAGCAAACGTCTCTAGCAGGCCTGAAAAAATTGAGCTCTGCATAGCTCAACCTCTGAGCTTACCTCTTACTCACAAAACCTGCAAGGCTCTCAAATCCATATTTGAAATGCAAGATGAAGATGAGAAATGGGTGACATCCATTGCATTTTCAGTGGATGTGTGCATCCTGCGTTCTCAGCTATACCTTGTGGATAGGGCATCACATCTGAAAATTATTAAATTTAAAATTCTGAAGATTTAGAGATAACCTTTCTTCGTAGGTAGAGTGATTTATGCCACAGATATCTAGAGAGGCTAAATACCCTGATTTTGTTTGCAAGCATTCAGTACCTAATTTTACCCCCACAATACACCTCTGAGGTTAGTACAATTATCTCAATTTTAGTGAAGATGGGACTGAGTCCTAATTCATAGAACTAGAAAGTGATAGAGCTGCTGAATTTTGTGGTACACATCTGGAGTCTCAGCACTCTGGGAAGCTGAGGCAGAAAACTGCAGCCTGGACAACTTGGTGACTTAGGGAGATAAAAAAAAAAAAAAAAAAAAAAAAAAGAAAAAGAGGAAGGGAGGAAAGAAAGAAGGAAAGGAAAAAAAGGAAGGTAGGGAGGGAGCAAGGGAGGCAGGCAGGAAGGGAAACAGCTGAGGTATAATTTGTACTTCCCTTAATTTATATATGAGTGAAACAGTTCCCAAAAAAATACTCATTGGAAGAATCATACATCAAAAAGAAAGCTTTTTGTCAGATCAGCCATTTATTTGAGAACCACTTGAGACTTTTTGCTTTGAAATACAATTTAAATAGGCATTACTTTGAGCAAGGTGAAATATAGTTTTATTAATGAAGAGCATTATTGAGTCATTGAAACTAATAATTTTATGAAACAGTATTATTTTAAAAAGCTGTTTAATGAGCAGTATTTTACTTCACTCATAAAAGAAAGTTCAAACATCTGGAGTATTTCTTAAGTAGTATAGCATTCGTACACAGAATGATGTTTCTCCCTTATGTCTCACAGGAAATACCATATCCTTTGAAATTTATGTAAAAGTTTTTACATTCATACGTATATTTTTATTTCACTGAGCACATGAACTAAAATCATATTACTAAAAGGAAAAATTGATTGATAGCCAATTCTCAGTGATAAAATTTTACCAAGCCTTTAACAAGCCCATTATTATAACTTCCTTCTAATGGTTTTCCTATATAAAAAGTTGTAGAAATCCTGGTGGCTCACAGAGACATAGTTTTACTCCACTTTTTTTAGTGTTTGTTTGGGGATGGGATATTGATAAACAGTGTAGCAGGGATATAAACAAGATATGTGTAGTATCTCAAGAAATTATATCATAAAGTTTTTAATGCTAGAAAATTGAGATTCTTGATATGAATGTACTTTCTTTTAAATACAGACTCATTAGGAGCAGTGAGAGCTGGTAAATTTATAGATGGATTAATATGAGAGTTATAGAATCAGAACTTCCAAATTTGAAAGATTTTTGCAGAAGAAGGGCTCTCAAGGTAGAAGTCTTCATCAGGAGATGAGTTTAGTTATTGTCCAACACAGGAACTGTAGGTCAGTCAAATAGACCTTGAGGTTACTGAGTCAGACTGACCACCAAAACAACCAGGAAGTGAGTGATCACAGCAGGAGAGGGTTTTGAGCTTCTTTGGGTAGAAGATAAAACTAAGAATTGTAGTAGATGTAATCTTAGGGCATGAGAAAAACAGACATCAGAAAAATAGATACTTTAATCTCTTGTTAGCATATGAAAATTTTGATAAAAATTTTAAGATTTAAGTGCTAATGGTTTGTCAAAGGAGGAATAAGTATTTTTAGAAAATCATGTGACTAAACTACATATTTTGATTTTAACCTTAGTTTTATTTAAATTTCATATATATGTCTATATCTGAATAAATGTACATGTTTTTGGTTTCATCTGAAGGTTTGAATGCACCGATGAGTATTCTTATCATTGAAGCATTCTATGGAGGCTCCCATAAACAGCTGGTTGATCTACTCCAAGAAGAGTTACAAGACTGTGTCCTTTATACCCTTCCTGCAAAGAAATGGCATTGGAGAGCCCGGACAGCGGCTTTGTATTTCTCTCAGAATATTCCCATCAGTGAGAATTACAGGTAATCAGAGCTCAGGATGCATTTTTAGCGTGTTTATATTGTACCTGTTTGCGGGCAACCCACTTTCTGGTCCTCCTTCTGTCTCTGTTAGACAGAAGCTTTCTTTCTCTCAATAAATTTTTCCTATGCATAACCTCCATTGTTCCTAGAATTAATTCTTTGATTTTAGGGAACACAAACTAGCATTTCAGATATCTAGTAGGTTTGGGAGTTACATCTCTTCCCCCTATACCATTTTGGAGGTCTACTACTGAGAATACTAGATGGAGGTAAGAATTGTCTTTCATAGGTTCTAACTTTTGTCTTTTTGCTTCATGGATTCTAACTTGTTTCATAGGCTCTCATTGGTTTTATAGATTCTGGCCTTTGTTTCAGCTTTTGTTTCAAAAATGTCTTAACTTTAAGTTGTGTGTTTTCAGTGTTTGCAAATTTCTTGTTTTTCTTATCCATTGTATTTTGTTAAAATTACATTTTATTCTTGTTTTGTATGTGTTGCATTTGGACTTAGTTGCTTCAAAATGATGTAAAATGGGTGTCTCAGATAAAGATAGATCAGGCTTTTATCTGTCACTTTTACAGTCGTAAACCACGCGGCTACCCTGCCCACTAGTAATTACCTTTAGGGCAGCTGCCTCTGTCAAAGCAGAGGACAGGTTTCTCCAGTTGCCTTCTGGTGAATCCCCACTCCCATTGATGCCAGTGTGAGGTGGAACATTGATCAGATATGCAATTGGGTTCCTTTCAGAGGCAGATCTCTGATTGCATAGAATTAGTGGAAAGTAAGGTGACAACTGAGGAGTCATGGCCCAGGCTGCTCTCTGGCAGAGACCCAAAGTTCCCTCAGAAGGAACTAGCTGCTGACAGCCCATCCAAATCTCCACATCTTGTTCTATCTGGACTCCTCAGTGAGGTGAAAGGGGAACTCTGTCAAGTGATCATCAGGTATCCTCTGTCTTAGACTGATCTGAAACAATACTGTTAGAGCCCTTTCTTAAGTTTCCTTTAAGAGTTGAGCTACAGGTTTGAAGTGCTTTCTCTACTACTAGTAAGACAGACCTCTAGACAAATATATATATAATTTTTGATACATTAAAAACTACGTGAACCTTCTCCTCGCCTCCTAGGCATGGTTTTCATCGTTTATGTGTGTAGGGGAAAAAAATGCCCTTTCCAGCAGGTTATGAACTTTGGAACATCGACTATGGATTTATAAAATGCTGTATGGTGATTTTTTTGATGTTTAACCAGCTTTTTTATTTGGACTTTTTCCGCTCTGCTAGTGAGATAGAAACTCCCCTTAAACTTTTCTCCAACTTGTTGGGAGTTAACTTGAGAATCCCTTGTAATCAGACCGCTCCTCCTTCCAGAAAGTCAGGCTAAGCCAACTCATGACAACTGTTTTGTCTTATACTAGCAAAAATAACAATCAGTAACTTGCATTTGTGTTTTTACATGCTAACTGGAATATGGGACTATTTTGGTCAGCCTTTCTCTTCCTTCATGTGTGCGCATAAGAAGTTGATAAAGGTACCTTTATTGTGTAGATTGTGGGTTCTAGGAAGACCTATGAGTTTCAAATACAAAGTGAATTTAAAATGGACCTTAAAGGAGTAGCCTTGTCTTGTTGCTGTTAAAAGTTGCCTAAATGACTGGATAGAAATTTCTCAGAGCTTTCTTTGCCCTAGGGCCCAGGGAAGAATCTATGATTTACAATCTCTGCAGGAGATCTCTTCTGCAGGAAAAGTGCCCTAATTTGACTGTTGACCTATTTTCCTCTCTCTTTCAAGGAACTAGAAAGCAGTGGTTTGAATCTCTTGGTTTGCTAGCAATACTTTTCCTTCTCTAAATGTGATTGTTATAGCTGAAGTCAGTTGTAACTTGTGCTTTGAGAGTACTTCCTGGAGTAAGGATATGAGTTACCTGAGGAAGATAAGATCATGTGCTGGTAAAGGGTAGATAGTCCAGTCTGGTTTTATTTTCTGGGTCTCTCTCCAGATGGTAGCTACCTATCCTGGAGTGGAATAAACCTGGGGGACCCCCTAGGAAGCACAGGAATCAATTAGAGACTTATGGTATTCCATCCATATTTGTTTCTCTTCTTTCAGATTAGGAACTCAGTATCTGAACCTCACACTCCTTTGGAATGTATTAAGGAGAAGTTTAGTATTTCTCTATAACCTTGCATGGTGTGCCTACTTGCTAAAGCCAAGTACACAAGAGGGAAATACTATGATGGTATCTCACAATTAGAATTATACTGAAAAGAGATAAAATGGTCAAAATCATCTTATGGTGAGATTTTCTTTACATTAGGTAACTCTTGCTTGTGTTCAAGTGTAAATGTAATGAGAGATACCTCACCCTTAGGACATTCAGCACCTCTAAGCCTGAGGCTACTCCTCTCCCTTTAGCACCTGAGAACAAAGTTTCTAAAACAACTTTAAACCTTGAGAACCAGGTGCTGAGGATGGAATATCTAGGCCAGCCATAATTAAGACCTCTTTGAAGCTATATCCATCCTTAGCTAAGTTGTTCAGTTCCCTCAAAGACAATATCCCTTGCAGAAAATAAATGGCAAATATGGGACCACCTGTGTTGTTGTGTCTTTTCTCAGTGATCTAAGACAGATTAAATGAGACCTAATAAAGCTTTTGGATGACCCTGATGTGTACATTGAGGCCTTTAGAGAACTTACTCAGACCTTTGGGCTAGATTAGAAAGATGTAATGTTGTTCTTAAATCAGATATTGGTTTTTAATGAGAGACAAGTAGTATCACATTTAGAGACAAATATTTTCTTAATTTTGGAATCTCAAAAGACAGGCAGCCAGGGGAATAACTGGTTTCTACTGGAACGCAAAAAGTTCCTATACAAGACCCCTACTGGCCTGACAATCAGTTAGGTGATTAAAATAGAAGAGATTTTCAGGCATGTATTCTTAAAGGTCTAAACATGAGAACTAAGTCCTTCAGTTATTTTAAATTGTCAGCTATTTATCAGAAAGATATGAGGATATCCCTACGTCCTGATTTGATAAAAGGAAATACAAGTTTTTCCCAACTCAGTCTTGCAATAGTAGATGGTACAGTGTTATATGCCCCCTCTGAAGACCTTTCTAGCTAAGACACCTGTGTTCTGCTGAATTTTCTAACAGACAGAGGTTATAATGTTTCTAGGTCTAAGGCACAGCTTTGCAGCGTTGATGTAAAATACCTAGGCCTCATTGTATCTAAGGGAACCCAAGGACTGGGAGAAAAAAGAATTAAACCAGTTATTTCCTTTCCACAGCCCAAGACACTAAAACAGCTAAGGAGATTCCTAGGAATTACAGGCTTTTGTCACCTTAGATAAGAGGATATAGTGAGGTTGCTGTGACCACTCTATTAGCATATAGAGAAACCCAAAGACATCTGTATTTTAACTTGGGAACCTTATTCACATACTACATTTCAGAAGCTCAAACAAGCACTTGTAAGTGATTGCCTACAGGACACCATTTCAGTTTGTATGTTAATAAAAGGTGAGATATGGCTTTGGGAGTGTTTCTGCAAGATCAGGGACCTGCTCAACAGCCCGTAGGGTGTTTAAATCATAAATTATACATTATAGATTCAGAGTATTTCATTAAAAGGGTAAGTCCTAAACAATATAGTTAGAACACTTTCATTCTCTTTCAAGAGGCAAACAGCAGCCATTCAGGTTCTTTGGTTATTAGTTTGATTTTCTGCTTGGCAATGCAATTGGAGTCAATCATAGCTTTTGTCTCTAGAGATATGTTTTGCTAAGGATTGCAGATCCACCATTAAAAAGCTCTTGATCTTAAATGTCTTTCTACACCTGTGATGGTTAAAATTTAGTTTTTGTGCTATACTTAATGGCACTCTTCTGTTCCTTCTCCACTGCTCTGCCCCTGAGAAATAGCACAGTTCTCAACAGTGTTTGATTCAAGATACTTTCTACCTCTGTGTCTGCCGGATTTCAAGATAAAGCTTCTAGAATGGTGAGTTTCCCTTTCCTAGAATTCTTCCAGAGTAAAGCTGACTTTTCTGTATCTCTGGGCCATATAGAAAACTAGTCTAGGTTTAATCCTGAAACTCTCAAAAAACTATGTAAAAATTTTAGTCCAAATTCATCTGTCTTTAACCCCCAGACAAAATTGGAGACTGATAATAGTTAATCTGGTTCTGTCCACTTTCTTGCACCTGTAGTCAGCTGCTGCTGGCAGTGGTTGAGATAAAGTCTTACAGGACACCTTAGATTGGGCACAGAACAAGAGGGATAGACCTTCTTTCCTTTTGTTTCTTTTCAAAATGGAAAAAACTGTCATCGGTAGACATCTGCAGCACAGGAGATTGGAGCCTTGGCAGGTCTTCTTCCTTCACTGCATGGAATTCATACTTAGCTCCAAAGAGTGTCACCTCGTCTCTTCTACATGCAAACCTTGCCTGAGCACACCCCCACAGAAGATAGTTAATATTGCATTGAACAGTCTGTCCCTTTAGAGGGAACTATTACATGTGTCTATCTAACAATTGGCTGTAAAGGCAACCATGAGAAGCCTGTGTAGCTGGCTATTCTGGTCAGATAAACTCTCAGTTTAGAGCCCATTTCAAAACTGTTTTTGCTTTCACAGGTGTAGAAGATTTTTATTCCTTTTGATTCTTATTTCAAGATCTCTGTTAATTCATCTACAGAGTCCTGACAAGTCCTTTTTATAATTATAAACCTAAAAATTATAAAAGTTATTATAATTTAACTTGGCCAACTATATCTGAGTGCACTCTGGTTTACAAACAATTTGTCTTGTGTGTGTGTGTGTGTGTCTGCCTATTCAATTTGTTACAATACGTACAGCTGTTTTGAGGGTTTTTTTGTTTTGTTTTGTTTTTTTGTTTTTTTTTGGCATTTTGGATTTTTTCAGATGTTTGCCTGTAACTCAGGTTGGCTTATTAGATAAATGTCACTAAAGACATGCTTCTCCCAGTTTGCCAGATAATCT